TACACGCCACGAGGCGCCAGTGGCGCAGGAACTGAGGCGCAGAGACCGGCGACTTGCCCAAGGCCACCTGTGGGTGCCACTCCAGAGCCTGAGCCCTTGACCACAAGGGCTCAAAGAGCCCGACGAGCCACTGGGAGTTGCGTGACATTTATCATCAATCCGCGCCACGGTGCACGTGCTGTTGCGTCCCCTGGGCAGCAAGCACACAGTCCCCCTTTGGAAGGGGACGGGTCTCCCGCTTGGTCGAACACATGGTGCCCCTCCCCTGCTCTCTCAGTTGGAACCGGTAGAGCCTGTCCTGTCATGTCCTCTCATCAGAGTTTGTGGTATGTCACAGGACATGTGTCAGACTCTCCAGCCACAGCAGCCCAGTGTGTCCCTGGGGCAAGCTCTTGGTGGTCTACCCCCCACGGGCCAGAGCTCTCGTTTGTCTCCAGCTCGGGCAGCACTTAGAGCCTTCACCCTGTCCACATGCCGGCCAGCGGCAGCACACCAGGCTGGTCCGTCCTCAGCGCTGCAAAGACTTTCCTTCCCGTCTGGGCCAGGTGCTCTCTCTGCCACTCGGCAATCACGGCTTGGTGGCACCCGCCAGTCCCCTTGCTCAGTTCCAAGCTACGAAGCCCACTCTCCCACCCAGCTGTCCTCCCCATCCCAGGGACTGGCAACTCTCCTCCTCCTGCGTGTTCTAGCCACAGACCTTGGAGCTGTCCTCGACTTGCCCTTTCTCTCATCCCCCGCAGCGATCTGCCAGCCCATCCATCCATCCTCTTAGCTTTGCCTCCAAGAAAGCTCCAGAATCTCTCCCCTCCACCACGGCCACCAGCCTCCTTCAAGGCCCTGCCGCCATCTCTGATCAAGTCAACGGCAAGTGCCTTGACTGTCCCTGCTCCCACCCTGGTCTTCAGACAGCCCCTTCTCAACACAGCCAGAAAGAGCCGCGGAACCTGTCAGACGCTGTCGCTGCTCTGCTCAAAATGCTCCACTGGTCCCCCGCCTCAGGCAGAGTAAAAGCAAGTCTTCATACGGGCCCTCAAAGCCCCACCTTCACCCTCCATCTCGTCTCCCACCGCCTCTTCCCCCTCCTGCCACACAGCCTCACGGACCCCGGCCCGAGGAAACCCTTGGCCTCCTACCCAGGGCCTTGGCACTCTGTCCCCTCCCTGCAGCGCTCCTGCCTGCATCTCTCCATGGGATCGTTCCTCCCTTCCTTCGGGTCTCTGCTCAGTTGTTACCCTCTCATCAAGCCTTCCTGATCACTTCTTAAAACTGTGAGTGCATGTGTGCACACACGGGCGGGCCATCTGCACCCCACCACCCTCCCCTGCCTCGTTTTTATGCACATACCTCATTGCCTTCTGGTACATTCTGTATTTTGCCTACTGATTTGTTTGTTTTGTTTTCTCCACTAGAACTACAGTGTAAGCTCCAGGAGAGCAGGTATTTTTTGCCTGTTTTTTGTTTATTGCTGTATCCTCAATAGTTGGAGTGGTGTGTGGCGCACAGTAGGTGCTCAATAAATGTGTTAGATCAATCAATTGAAAATTAATGAAACTGGCATCCTGGCTTTTATATGTCTTGCAAGTGTGATTAGTATGAGGGAATCCCCTGAGTTCATCAGCTGCACCTGCACTATCAAAATAGTTTCTGGACCTCCAAACCAAGTAAGAACCAGACATGAATCATGGGGACCGCACCTCTGGCCCCTAAAGCTAAGCATGCAGAACAGGGCCATCACTCAGATCCCTGCACACACAGATCATGTCACGCTGTTGCTTTGGGAAAGAAGACAGCTGGACGCAGAGACCAGCATGCTATGCAAGCATCACACGCTGCAGATAGAGATTTATAGCTCGCAGTTCTGAGAAAATGACTCAGAAACCAGTCAGAAACAATATCAGATCAGGCTGGTCCTTCTAATTGACTTCCTACTTCCTAATAGTAGCTCACAGTGAAGAAATCTGGCCAACCCATGTGATGAAGGCCAATGTCCCCAGTAATGGCATGAGGGTATAGGGATAAGAGGGCACTTCACCTCTGGGATACCCTTTTCAAGACCCAACCCCAGCCTAATCATGAGACAAACATCAGACAAATCCAGACTGGGGACGTTCTACAGGATTCCTGGCCGGAGCTCCCTAGGACTGTTAAGGTCATGAAAACCACCACAAAACTGAGAAACTGGCACAGACAGAGGAGCCTGGGGAGAAATTACAATGAAATGCAATTTGGTGTCCTGGATGGGATCTTGGACCAAAAAGAGGATGTTAATGGGAAAACCAGTGCAGGAAATTATACAGCTGCTGAACTCATCAGACCAACCAAGCCCCTGGGCAGCCAGCCCCCAGGGGTGACAACTGAAAGCAGAAAGGCCTCCCCACAAGCTGAAGCTGCTCGTTTTTAAGTCTCGCTATTCATCTCCAGGGGACTTGGTCACTTGGGTTTTATGAGGTTAGGCTCACACACCCGGCCGATCCCCTGACCATTCTTCTGTAGCTGGGCCCAGAAGCACAGATGTGCTCTTCATCTTCCCATTAAGCTTGAAAAGACTAATGTTTTCTGCCCTTAGGTGGGATCACTTCTGCTGGCTCTTCATTGTAGATGGTGTCTGTCCCAGAACAAGCCTGACATCCACACAAAAACACTTGACAGCAAAAGTGGGAAGACAGAACTCAGACACACAATCGAACGTCTTCTGTCCTGCGGCTGGCACCACTGTAGGCCAGGGCAGTGGCCTCCCTCTGCAGCGCAGCCTGGGTGCATCCTCATGCCAGTGCCTGCCCCAGGGGCCGGACAAGCAGCGTCGGAAACCCAACCAGCTGAGGAGGAGAAGCGTCCTGTTCTGGGCTGCAGCCGTCTTTCCCGCCATCACGTCTCAGGGGAGTCTGAGTATCTGGGACATTACCAGGCCCCCCCATCGCCTTTCCCTCGGGTCCCCACTGAGGACTGGCAGTCCCACCGCGGGATGCTCTCAGCCACCTCACCTGGGCCATGACCGTCATGTCCTCCTCCAGGTCGGTCCCTTCTGTGCTCACAATGAGCTTTCTGAGATCCCAATCTGAGCGGGTGGCTCCCTACATACAGAGGTTTGGGCTCTAGGTGAAAGTCTCACTGCTGATGGCCCCAGGGCTCAGCCTCCCCCCAGAGCCACACCCTCTCAGAGCCCAGCCCTGCCCCTGCCCCACTCTGCCAGGTAGGCCTGGCGACTCCTACCTGCTGCTGGAGCCAGGCTCTCCCATACGCAGGACTCCTCAGGAGCACCAATCCTGTTTTAGTCTCACATTTTTGTTGTCACAGTAACCTTCTGGAGGGTAGGGAACACGTACGCAATGCCTGGCACACCAGAGCCACTCTGGGCATGGTGTGAGCATACACGCATGAGCAATAAGTGTGTGCATACTGGCCGAGATGACCACTTCCTTGTGGCTCCTCACAGGGATGGCACCTCCAACACCTCAACAGCCTTGATCCCCAACAAAGGCATCTGCTCCCAGCTGAAGCTGGGAGCTGGTCCTCAAAGACTGCAGGGCTGGGGCTGGCAGGGAACCCCCTCCCCCCCCCGTGCATCCATCATCAATATCATGATGTGCATGGTCTCCCAGATGGGGGTGCGTGTGCTGGTATTTCCAGAGTGTTCTGCGAACCAGCACTAGCAAAAGAGTCTATGTCGAAAAAGATAATGGGATGCTGGACTAAAGTTCTTTACTGCAGAACTTTGGAGTCTTTAATTTGCTACAGATATGGAAGTACCCAAGGGCTAGGCAGTCCATGGTGTTTCCCAAATATATCAGAGAGCCTCGGGGCACTGTGGAACCTACTCTGGGAAACACTAGCCCAATTTGGCGGATTTCTACTGAATGATGTACAGAGAACCCAGAACAAAGTATGTTTATTACTCATTCACTGTGGTCACTCTAAAATTTGCCAATCATCAAAATCAAACACTGTCTTTTTTAGATCAGAAGAAAAAGGACATGTCTATGGAATCAAAACCTTTTATTCAGAATCAGCATTAGCAAAATGCATAATAAGCCTCATAAATGCTGGGCCACAGAGTACTCAGAAAGAGATTAGAAAATAATTATAAAGATATTTTGCTACAAATAACATGAAACTCAATCATCAGCTGTAAAATGTAATCATACGTAATCACCCTGAAAATAAAAGGTAAATCTCTTCAGACTGCCCAGGCAGCAAGAACCCCACAGCCCCCAGAACCCAGGTGCTACTGCGACATCCTCACCCAGTGCTGGGATCCAGAGTGACTGGGGCCCACGCTGCCTCCAGTGCTGGAGGCAGCAAGCGCGGTGGAAAAGCTCAGAGCCTCATGCCCCACTGGGCTTCTCACTGCCTTAGAGAGATTTGATTAAATGCTCGTAATTTGCCCAGGTTGGACTTCCGATGACAGGAGTGACGGCAGCTCTCCAGGAAGTTCACTGGGGCTGCATCTGACGCTTCAGCGCGGCAAGTCTCATGAGGCACTTGTCCCGCCACTGCCTCCTGGCAGCTAAGTGCTCTGCGTCGTCAGGAACCTTCATGCACATGGCCTGGGAGAGGGCAGAGAAAGCAATCCACCTGGAGTGTAACTGCCGTTCCTACTTACGCAAACTGCACATAAGTTGCTTCCAAAGGCGAAACATAAGCTTTCCAAATCTTCAGAGACCTAAGTCCCTCGGAGAGCAGTGAAAATGAGCTACTGGCTCACTGGTCACACTGCTCTTGAGGTGTCCCGGTGACATGAAGGAATCGTGGACAGAGCATGTTAGGAAAGAGGAACCATCAAAATCAAGGGCCCAGATTCTAGCTACAGACAAAGCCCCACCTGCCAACGCTTCCACTCGGCCGCATGCTTCTCTGCAGTGAGTCTACGCACCTGGTTAACTTTCTCAACTGTGGCCCCAGAAAACTCTGGAATGGGTCCAAAAGTCTTCAGGACACACTTCATGCCTTCGCTGTATCTGTCACAGTAGTTTAACATCCCTGAAAAGATATGAAAACAAGAATCCACAGTATCAGCAAGAATATTCTACAACTCCACACTAAGAAATGTGTTGAGTGGGTTTTGCCCCAGGGTCAGGTTAATGACATTCTTCTCTTCCTTTGGATAAAAAAAAAACAGAGCTAGGAAATACATCCGCTGGCCCTGGGGAAGGGGGACCCTCACTGTTAGTCACCTTCCATGCTTTCTATCAGACCTTAAAATCCTGAGATGCCCTGGGCCCCTCATGGGACACTCCAGCCAGCCTCTGTCCACAGACTGATTTGTTGAATGTCACAGCAAGTCCTTGATTTCACCAAAAGCATCACATTCAACAATGGTTCTGTACAATTACTTGTGCACATGGCTTGGATGCATTTTCTAAGAATCAGCGATGTCACAGCTCAAGCAAATCTGTGGCTCATTTTAGTCTTGTTCCATGAATTCCAGTTACTGCTTTATTGGGTATTAAACAGAGAAACTTCAGCATGGTTGTATTTCTCAAGCAGGCTTGGGGACGGGATGGGCCAAACTCCGCAGCATGCAGCCTCACCATGCACAAGTCTCCAGCACACCTGCTGCTCCCCAGCCCTTGGGAGCCAACCAATTTCTCAGATTCTAATCATTTTGGTGGAGAAACACAGGAAGAAGAGGCCCATCCTGGAAGGTGAGGCAGGGAGCAGTGTGATCCCCAGAGCAGCTGTGGGGCCGGGGGGCTGAAGCTAAGGCAGTACTTGGGAACCCAAGGCGCACGCGAGCAAAGCACACGTCCAGCTGCGTCGGCTCCCCCACCCGCCGGGCAGCCTGCCCCGACCCATCAGTTCTGCAGACTCCAGCTTCCCCCTTCCCCTCACATTCCTCCCCTCCCCGCTGCCCTGGGGCCAGGGCCCACAGTGCTCAACAAGTCAAGTCAGAGCCAGGCCCAGCATCACGGCAGAGCAGGCCCCACCAGGAGCAGGGCCGGGCCGCCCACTGTTCTGCCTCTGACCCATTTCCAACATCTTTCAAAACCAGAAAGACTCAGCAGTGGGTCAGCAGTCAGGCTAAGAGGACAACAGGGGACAAGTGAAACTGCAGAATCTGCAGAGACCCAGGGCTTGGCTCTTCCCACCCAACAAATGCCGAGTATGATTAATGTAAAAAAAAAAAAAAAAAAAAAAAAAAAAGATCAGTGCCAGATACCCTTAAAAAAGAGACAAACAGCTTCTTTTAGTTTTGATTGACCTGCACTGACATGAAAGCCTAAATTCACTGCATTTCTATTTTATTTGCATCAAGTAGTTTTCCTTCTCTCAGTGTGCCACATTTCCTTAGAAGAGAAATTGTTTTGAAGGGTAAAAATTCAAACATACCAACTTTTCTGACATTAGCACCTGCACTTCAGTGGTGGACACTCTCTTTTTAAAAATAACGGGTTTCATTTCATTTAATGTGTTAACTTGGCAATTCAGGGTTCTGGAAGGCTCCCTAAATGTCCCAGCACTGGCCAGTTATCTTAGATGGTTTAGCATTTCTGGAGAACAGAAAACAATTATTTCCTTTCAGAAATTAAGTATTTACTTCATTTCATCTATTTATTTATTCAAACTAAAGATGATAAAATCTAGACACAAATACAGTTTATTCCTTTGGGGGCAGGGCGGGCAGAGACACAAGAATTAAGTTGGAAAGATGTTAGAGGAAAAGAAAATGGGAAGGTTTGCTCTAGCTGTGTATTCCAGTGCCCACTTGCAGGGAACGCGGAAGCTCTCTCAGGAGCCAATCGCCCCCCCATGCACTGAGTACCAGGGGTCCAACCATGCAGCACCCTCGTCTCTGGATTGCTTTACATTTCCTGAACAAGGGTTCATCTTTCACTGACCCTGTGAAATCACTTGAATCTGCCAGTGGTTTTCTAGAACTTTCCTTCCCTACTGCCTTTTGTAAAATTTGTAAAGTTGTAAAGGGACATTTATTTATCAAAAATAGAATCAAATACAGTAAAACTCTTTACAGTACGATTCACAATCCTCCCCCCCCCCCCACTTGTTCAGGAAACCAATAAAAATTTCAGTCCTTACTGATATAAAAACCCTTTCTGTAACATGCACTCCAGGCTCTCGGGATGTGGAGCCCCACTGTCTGGGGCGAAGTTAAGGAGCCCACACCACGCGCTACGGGATGTGCGCGGCCTCCCACGTCATCCATGGAGAAGCCAGGCACCCTGCCAGGGCTCCCAGCTGCCCCAGGCCGAGGAGTTCACGGTGACTCATGCTCACAGCAACGCCCCAGGACATTCACGACTGGTGCTGTTGTGTGCAGTGTCTCCCCTTCCATTTAGAGAGGTACAGGAGGATTTTACTTTATTTTCAAAATAATTCTGGCTTCTCTGCATGAGAGGAGAATTGAGTGGGGAATTAGTCTAAAATACCAATTTCATTAGAAATGGAAAAAAAACATAACCCAACCCACTTCAGCTTGCCTCCCACTAGCCGTCCTGGCCCTGCATTCCTGTCTGTCTCGCCTTCCTCTATATTTTCTCTTCTTTATTTCCATGTCCTCTGTTCTCTTGGCCTCTGTTATTACAAAAACACTGGTAGAGCTTTTAGAAGACCCTGAACCTAATTTCTTAAGAGATGCTTATATGGAAAAAGAAAACAATGGGAAACACAGATTTTCCTGAGATTAGATCTGGCTTATCTTGCTGCTTTCGAACTTGGGATTCTTCAGCTGTGAGCCCACAGTGGTGAGGAGGTGGGTTTTCTTGAACCTACAGCGAACCCCAAGGTACACAGGCAGGAGTCCTCCTGTTTGCATTTATGGAGCAGGCACTGCGGTGGTCGCTCCTGGGGACACAGCTGGCTGTGACGTGCTCAGGTGTCCACTGGGAAGCCACGTGAGCCACTCTGGTATTTGGTTTCTTGGAGAACACCACTTGCTGCCCACACCAGAGTCTGGTTTTCATGCAGCTTATGAACTCACACCCATGTAAATTCACTTGCTTTTAAGAGACAGAGTTTCACAGAACTTACTCAGCAAGATCAAAAAAGGCCCAAAGCACAGAGTGACATTATCTAATTCCTCCTCCCAGGATCAAATTCTCACCTGAGTGAGAACTCCCAGGGTTGGAGGCAGCACCGACCCGGGCCCCTCACCTCCCATCAGCTCACCTTCCTACTGGGAATACCAGCCCCACATAAATGAATCAACCCTCTCCCCTAGGTAGGCATCTCGATTAAAAAAAGACGGGCCGGCCCCGTGGTGCACTCGGGAGAGTGCGGTGCTTGGGTGCGCAGCTGCGCTCCTGCCGCGGTTCGGATCCTATATAGGGATGGCCGGTGCGCTCACTGGCTGAGCGTGGTGCGGGCGACACCACACCAAGGGTTACGATCCCCTTACCGGTCATGAAAAAGACAAAAAAAAGTAAAAATAAAAAATAAGAAAAGACAAGTGTCTACACATAAGAGGAAATTTTGTGAGGCAAAACAGTGAACTTCCACCTCTCCTGGAGGTGATTTCCACGGGCTGCCAGATCTGAGATATTGTCCTTTCACAATAGAACAAAACATGGGAGGAGCCCACCAGGGCCAGCCGGAGCAGTTCTGGCTGCTGACCCTACTGGTGTAAAGCTCAGCAGAGAAACAAACCAGACAGTTAAACTCAGGCACCCGACTCTGGAGGCTTCTCTAATCCACAGCAAAAAGCCCCTAATCTGTTTTTGTTCTGTATCTCTCTCTCATGTACTTGTGAATCTTTTGAGGAGAACAAAATAAACTAAAAACGAAAAAACATAGAAGAGTAATAAGTTCAACTCCGTATGAGCACATTTACTAAGGACTTAACACATGCTGGCCATCCCACTAAGTTTTCCCACTGGTTTACCTCTCACTCCACTTCCGTGAGGGTGTTCTTAGCCCCATTTTACAGATGGGGAGGTGGCCTGAACTTAACCAACATGCCCAAGGTTGTGCAGTGAGTAACTGGGAAAATCAGGGCAGAGACCAAGGCGAACGGCTATTCTGAGAGCTTATCCTTCAAGGATGTTGCTTTAAAAAAGTAGCCAAAAGGCTGGCCTCCTATTTTTCAGGTACTGTTTGATTAGATTTAAAAACAAATCCTAAAATATTTGCAGTAATTTTAGATAAACAGTAGCTTTTAAGACTAATAACTCCCCATAACCTGAGGTGCTGGCTTTATGAAAACAGTATCAAAAAAAAAAAAAAAAAATTCTCCCAAGTCCAATCTTGATATGTTCTGTGTAACACTGTGAGGAATAATGAACATTTCCATTGGTCCCTGCCAGATCTTATAAATGTCTAACTCTGGACTTTGGAATGCTCTGAAGTTGAAAACTACATCCGTCCATCATCATCACATTAAGCCAATTAGGTTTTCTTATCATATCTGCTTTGTTTGGAAATTGTTACGGGCCTCCTTCCTGTCTGCCACCCCTTGTGATTCTTGAATTTCTGGTTTCATTTGCTTCTGTTTCTATTTGAGAGTCAAAGCCGTTCTCAGTTCTCTCTCTATCAACTTCTCATGATACCTCAATTATCTTATTTTTCTCAAGAAAAAAAAAAGAAAGGAAAACATAGTGATGATTAAGAGTGTCTACGTACATTTCAAATGCTTAAACATGCTCACCACGTATGAAGCTCTGCTTGAAAAAACATTTGAAATTATTGAAGACTTTAACGATGCTTCAAAACTCTCATTTCACGTGTATGAGGACATCATTCTCACATTCTCTTTCCATGTTCAGTTGTTATCCCCCCATAGAACATGCTAGTACTGGGAGAAATCCCCCCTTTGCTTCAGCTACTCCTGGCAACGTGCGGTTTTAAGGAAGATGCCAGCCGGTTACTGGACTGCAGGTGCATGGCACACATGGCAATCCCCTGAAGAGATCATAGGTGCACCTGCCGTGTGCAAGAACACATCTAGTAAAACCACCTGGACTTATTCGTTGGAAAGCTTATTTCACTAACTACTCTAGTGAAAATTGACAGAACTATTACCAAAACATCATGGAATTACAGAACTGAAGTCAAACAGACTGAGAGGTCACCTATACCAATTCCCACTTCCCTGCAGGAATTTCCTCTCAACACCTGAACATCCCACAGGTGGGCAACCAGCTTCCCCTGCTCAGCTCACCCACTCACAGCACAGCTCTTTTTCTGACATCAGCTCCAGTTACTAGAAAGTTCTTCCTGCCATGTACTCAGCCCAAACCTGCCTGCCTGCCATTTCCAGTCTTTCACTCTGGTTCCACCCCACACAAGACAGTAACACACACACCCACACCTGACTCTGGTCACCTTTTCTGGAAAAGCCCCAGTTTCTCAATATCCTTTGTTAAGTGTAGACCATGGAGCTGCATATATTATTCCCTTTCTCTTTCCCTATATGTTTTACAAGTTAACAATATTACTATTAAAATAATATTCGGTAATTGTACAAATTTATGACAACACAGAAAAGCAAAACGATAATAAAAGTTAACTGTAACTTCAACACCAGGAGATAGCCAGATAACAACAACATCTAAGTGACATCTTTCCAGATTTTCATATATAGCTTTTTTGATTTATTTTGTTTTAATTTGGTATAGGTTTTATTGGTTGGTTGTTTTTCAAATGACCATTCGTTCTTTCTGGATGGCTTAAAATCTGGTTGACGGGGTTTCATTCTCAGGAGCTTCTTATCCTTTTCAAGTTATCTGTCTTTCAGAGTTCCCAGGCCCTGGGCTCATACCGACCCCCCACCCCCTTTTATGGCATCGGCTGCTGGGTGACGCCTAGCCGCCCTGCTGATGGGCCCTGCACCGGCCCGCCTGCGCAGCCCCTTCCTTGCCTCCCCATCACTCCGGGCGGGAAGCCCCAGCGCAGTGCAGCGCACCCCAAGCTGCTCACATCCAGCACAGAAGAGGTGCCTGCGGGTTAAGTCTGCACCTCTATCCTTCTTTTCCTCTTGCTTCTGTAAATAACTTCATCTTCCTCAGCAAAATCCTTCTATCATGCTGGATGACACGCAGCCACCTCCGTCACATCACCGTTTCTCTCTCCCTCTCGTTCCCACCTGAGTGAGCCCGCGGTTCATGAATTCCACGTGGATTTCCTTCTCAGCATATAGTGCTCCACGTCCCAGCCAGTACCTGTGAACTACCAGGACGGGCTGTCGTCTCCTGCAGGTGCTACTGTTTCTATTCACATGTAAGAAAAGGCAAATTTGTTCACAAAACCCATGAAAACACTAACAGCACAGAATGCCCACTCGGCCCCAGATGCGTACCTTCCGCGTTGAGGTGCATGGTTTCCAGGGGTCCGATGAACGCATACCGCATGCCCAGCCCTTCCGACATGACCAGGTCGAGGTCGCAGGGAGACACCACTCCTTCCTGAACAGGAAATGGGCAGCACACAGATGAGTTCTCTGGAAAGGAAGTTTTGTCACTATCACTTCCAGTCTAACTTCTTCATAGCAGACTCCCAAAATACCCTCCAATGCACTAGACAGTATTTTGATCAAATTTTGCATGACAAAACTCTAATTATAAATGGATCCTGAAAAGAGACTATGCTGTGACATGGACAAATACCAATTTGCCTTTTCCATGCCTGCAGCCCACCTGGGCTTGAAGTCTCTTCCTGTCACCTTGCTGCAGCCACCACCCTGCCTCCTCTCCCCACCTGCAGCTGTAGAGATGCGGAAGAGGCTGAAGGGCAAGGGAAGGCGAGGACAGGGTGCTGGAGGGAAGGGGCAGGAGGGTTCTCTAGACACCTGCCTAGGCCCTGGGGGAGTAAGATTAGAACCTTCAAAAGGACTGGGAAGGAGCTTACCAGGAGGCTTCACCTGCCTGCAAATCCAGTCTTGTTAAGCTTTTAATGAGTTTGTAAAAAATGATATTCTTTAATGGAACAAAGTTTAAAACCATGAGTGTACTTGCCAAGGTGGGGCCCTAGAATCCCTGCAAATGTGAATTACAAAGCACAAGGCAAGCTCTTCTGCACTGGGGTTAGACGTCCATCAGTCGTCTGTTCTCTGGCCTGTTCTGGGCACAGCCGCACGTGGCTTTGGGAATGGAGCAGAAACACATAAGTGTATGTCTGTGCAGTCTGGCAGCTCACTGCCGGTTCCCTCCCATCGGAGGACATTTTCGCCTTGGGCATTTCAACCATCAGAAGGGCAGTGTGAGGGGAAGCCGTCATAGTTCCCCCTAAGCCTTTGCTGGTCAGAGTAGCAGCATTACTGTGGAATCTGCCCCTCCAGTCTCACTTCCTGAGTGGTTTCTTTCACAGAGCTCTGTGGGGACAGAGACAGCAGCCACCCAGCAACCAGTCCAGGCCTGCCATCTGTAAGAGGCTACCAACCATAGGTATGGTGGCCCCTGCCAGCCCTCAGTTGGGGGGCCTGGGTTCCCCTACCCCAGGGGCACATCCACAGGCCATGCACTGGCTCCCAGCAACAGGCTCAGGGAAGTGGCCCAGCAGCCATGGCCCCCGTCTCTCTGGCTTAGGGCAAACCTGTGGCCTTTCTCTGAGGGAGCTGTCTGTCATCCTCCTGTGAGAGGAGCACCTTGTCAGCCTAAGGAAGGGCTCTGAGGCTTCACAGGTGAGGCTTCTGCCCTCCAGGTGACACTTCCCACACTTCAAAGGCAGCCAAAGCAGTCACCAAGAAGTTGAGAGAGGAAAGGGATTTGCAACCCCCCTCCTATTGTCACCTGCAACCCAGCAGCTGAGGGCCGCACACAGTGGCCTAAGGGCTGCATGGCTGTTTGAGTTCATCTGAAGAGAACCTGTGGAGAGCAGCAAGCCAAGGAACCAGGATGAAGACAGAGCAATGCCACCTTGAGGGGCACGCATGACCTTCGTGTGTGACAGAGCACCCCCATCTTAAAAAGCCGCTTTCTATTTAGCGTTGGTTGTGTGCACGAGCCATGCAGAGGGTTTGGAGAACAGTCATAAAGCAACCCCCCTAGACCGCTGCGCCCATCTTCCCCACTGCAACCTCATCCCTCCTTCCCGGAGGCCAGCGTCCTGCCTTCTGCAGTAACTGCTTCTCAACTTTTAAGGCTGGCCATCTAGGTTCACGTTCCTTAACAACAGAGTTTGCCTTTTGCCTGTTTCTAATTTTCTTGGAAGTGGAGTCACACTACGCATGCTGGTGTGACTTGCTTCTCTCAACATTATGCCTTTAAGATTCACCTATGCTGTGTGTGGCTGTAGTTTGTCTTGATCTCGCTGATGTATAAAAGTCACAGTTTACTTATCCATCCTGCTGTTCATGAGTATATGGGTTGTTTCCAGCTTGCAGCTGGGACATGGGGCAGCCTCAAACATTCCTGCACACGGCTCCCAGCCCAGGTCCAAGAGCAGAGCTGCTGGGGCCAGAGCAGACCATCTCCCACATTGCTAAGCAAGGCTAAACTGCTCTCCAAAGTGGGTGTGCCATGTCCTCAGCCCCCAGCACTGCGTGTGGAAGAGTCCCCATCACTCCACGTACCCTCTAATGCTTCGTGACATCGTACTGGCCAAGTTTTGCTTTGGTAGGGTGCAGTGGTTCATTTGCTAAGGAGAGCAGACTAATTTACTCAGTTCACTCAAATTGCTGACAAGTGTCACTTCTCATAGCAATGCTGTAAGGGGCAGGGCACATCACTGAGAAGCCCAGAACCATCAAGAAATGGCTCCTGCCTCTCCTTCTCCCTGCTTGGTGAGTGCCTGCAGCAGGACGGGTGGCTCTGGCCCTCTCTCCAGGCTGCCTGGAGGCCTTGGCTGCAGGGTTCCTGTACCCCGTGGGCTCCAGAATGCTGTGCGAGGCACCCAGGCGGGGCCCGCAGACTCTCCCTCGTCCTTGGTTTCCAGGTCAACATTCCAAAAGCCCTAAGTTTTCATCTGAGCATTCAAAGTGTGAGGGATGTAAGTATGGACACCATCCTATACTTGCAATGCTATTTGGCTTGGCTCTCTTCTTCTAGAGTTGTGTTTACTATTTTTAGAGCTGATTCTAAGAGGATTTCAAAATACCCGAAAGGTGAGCCACCCAGCAGTAGTTCATTTTTGATTTGTAAGCATCATGTGAGTTAGCAGTACCCTGACTGAAGCCCAAGGAGGACATCCCACTGGGGTAAACCACCACCCCTTTCCGCACGTTCTCGGCTCTTTCCTATTTCATCTACAGTCACCATTCACCAGTAGAACAAGTCAGAAGAGGGAAAAGTGTTTTGATATCTCCCGTTCCTCTCTCCTTTCTGCCCCATTTGGAATTTCTGAATTGGATTTCTCAAAGCTTGAGTTTTCACCAAGATGCTAAATCTAGAGAAAGAAAATGATCCCAGAGAGACTCACTGACAAGGGTTTCATGTCGCTGAGGCAGACACTGCAGTTTCTCCCTGCTGCCCTCAGAGGTGAACTAAAGGGTTCACATGCACGATATGTTGAGGCTCAAGTTTCTTAATTTTACTGCTGAGCTCAATTCCACCCAAAGCTCTGTGACATCCGTGACTCAATATTGTAACAATCACAATAGATAGCTGTGGTGGCAGGACAGGCAAAAGTGAGTGCTCCTGCTGACACTGAACCGATGAGCGAGTCATTGGGAATGTGCGGTGCACAGCACGCATATCTGGAGACTGGAGCCCCGCCCCAGTCCAGTGTTTCTGTGGTTCAGTTAACATTTATCATATAGCTTTCTTTTTTTTTTTTTTTTCTCCTTTTTGTCTTTTCTCGTGACCGGCAACGGATCGCAACCCTCAGTGTCGCGCCCGTACCGGACCAGGACCGGCAACGGGATTGCAACCCTCGGTGTCACGCCCGCACCTCACTCAGCCAGTGAGCGGCCGGTCTGTATGTGGGATCCGAACCCTCGGCGGGAGCGCTGCCGCGCTTCCCAAGCGGTGCACTGTAGCAGTGCGCCACCGGGCCAGCCCTATCATATAGCTTTCATACCTCCTATATTTGGTGGTAAAACTGTCAAGTCACACGGACAAAGAAAAGCCCCAAAGTGGCTAAAAGACTCCTAAAACTCATACAGAGCAACGAATGCTGAGATCGCTGTTACTGCAAAGCCTGGTTTTTATACCATGTTCTGAAAAATCACAGGGCATGGAAAGCCAGACAGAGTGGTAAAGAATCCCCTGTACTGAAAAACACCTTGCCTCTACTTACTTTAGTTAAAACCTGAGGCTAACCACAATCATCTACACAGACGCACGGCCCAGACACGTGCTTTGCAGCCGGTGTGCGGGGACTGTAAATGCCCAGGCACGAGGACCCACACGACCGTCACTCAAGAAGCAAGGAAAAAGTGCAAGATAGTTAATAAAGTACTTGATGTCAGTGGTACACATTTTAAGTACAATTAAAGGTTTCAGAATGTATCAGTCAGGGTCCTACCAGAGAGACAAAACTACACACACACACACACACACACACACATCAAGGAACTGGCTTATGTTATCATGGGGCTAAGTCAGAAACACACACACACACACACACACACACACACACACACACACACACACACACACCCCCCAAGGAACTGGCTTATGTTATCATGGGGCTAAGTCAGAAACACACACACACACACACACACACATCAAGGAACTGGCTTATGTTATCATGGGGCTAAGTCAGAAATCCAAAAGACGGGCCCCCAGAGGTACAGGCAGCCGACTCGGGCAGGAGCAACAGTGTGTTCAAGGCAGAATTTCCTCCTCCTCGGGGAACCTCAGTTCCCTTGCAAGGCTTCCAACTGACTGGATGCAGCCACCCAGATTACTGAGGCTAGCTCCCCAGTCCCACTCTCCTGACTCCACTGTCTCCACAACACCCCCTGCAACACCCCCACCGTGCCTGGCTGTGTGACTGGGCGCTCTTGCCCAGCCAGGCCAACCTATTGAGGTGGAAGCTCCAAGCCCGGTCCTCTCCTCAAGGGGGAACGGAGGGGAGAGGACACAAGACACGTCTAGTGATTAACGTAAGCCAAAGGCTGACCTGGTCCTTTTGACAGACGCGGAGGCAGGCGAGGCGGGGGTCCTGGGTGGCGAGGTACAGGCGCCTGATGCATGCCTCCCTGCGGCTCCGCGGCCACCGGCTGCACAGGACTGCGTTGACTCCTCCCTGCCCCACTCACGAATTCTCTCATCCGGTTCATGTGCTTTTGCACACCCTCATTTTCATTGGCTTCTCTCCTTCTTCTTCGCGCCAGTGTTCCTGGGCTAGTTCTGTTTTACCAATTCCCAGCTTTCGATCTTCTATTTTGTTTTGCTCTACTTTTCCCCACACCCAGTCCTGAATTTTCACATTTTCTTGTGCAGATACTCCTTTAACTCTCCCACCACATCCCCACCAGGAACGCAGACTTGCTACCCAGGAATTTGGACGAGGTTAGAGGCAA